ATTGATTTAATAAAATTTGATTTTGAAATTTAGTTATGATATTGATTATATTTTTATAAATTTAATTTTGCTTGGCAGCCAATTCTGATTGGTTAAAAGGTATTAAAATATTAACTAACATATGTTAAATAACCTTCTAAGGTCATTTGGGCCTTGAAATAACAAATGACTAGTCATTTGTCATTTGGGTCATTTGTGTTATTTCAGGTTATTTACCATACCTAATCTATATTTAGCATACTTCTTTCTAAGCTCAGTAATTTTGAGTGAATTTAGAATTTAATTCTTTTAATGAAGCAATTGTAGTTTGTAAATCTGCTATTGTTTTATATAAAATGTGAATATATTTAAAATAAACTAGTCTGTTCCAATTTATAACAATTCTCAATCATATACAGGTTAATTGACATTGATATCAATATATCATGTATAATATCAAAATATAAATGCAAATATAATCCAAAGTGTTTATTTTTCTGTATTAGAGTTTACTGTGAAACTTTTTTTTCATTTTAAATTCTGAGATCTAATCTCAGAAGAATGCAATAGTGAAGATATATTTACAATTACGATATTTCATAAAATTAATAACCCTTCTATCAAATTAAAAATACTTTCACTATCACATGGTCACACTAGAATTTGTACCGAACGTAAGTTATAGAGGTGATAAATCTCATCTTTATCTTTAATAATAATGTTTAAATTATAGATATTTGATGAAATTATTTTTGAATTGATGAATAGTTTTGTCATTTTGCGATTGTGCTAAAAAATTTCATATAAACACCAAGAAATTTTTCTATAAACTTAGACAGTATACTCCTTAGAAAATATTCTAATTCAAAACTAATTTTGTCACTAATAATTATAGATCAAAATAATTTCGTCAAGAGTTTCGTCATTTCGTCAGGTTTAATTTCGTCTACTAATAAAATCAATTTCGTCAAGCATCACTAGTTTAAATGCGTTATATCCCCACTATATGTATTTCAACAATTCTGAACTCATCTTTGTCTGGTTTGCAACCCTTATATACCCAATAAAGCCTATCATTCATTTATAATTTTGTCTCTTTTTTGCGTTTAACTCAGACTAGACGAGAACATTCTACGAACATGAGTTCATAAAGCTTACCTTTGTTTTTCTCCATTAACATCATATCAGGGCGTTTTCCCTGTTTTCTATCCCCTCTTTTATCTGCGCTAGCTAGACTTTGTTATTCTGTACTGTAGAAAAAAATTTTATTACCACTTTCTAAAGTTATATAAATCGATGTTGAATCGATGAAACTTATGAGCTGAGAAAGTCAACTTATTAATAGGTAATTTCTTTAATGCAGTTCATAAAAGAGGGGATATCACATCTGTCACATAAGTTCCCTCACTTTGTGACTTTGCAAATTAAATTTCAAACACAGGATTTTTCCAAATATCATTTAATGAATCAAAGATTTTTAAGGTAATATTAGCTAATTCTTCATCCATTTCTTTCTAAGTGTTATCGTGAAAATATTTTTGTAGTGCAAATTCTACAGGTTCATTACGAAAGTTTTTCACGAAAGAAGAACATATTTCTTTAAAATTGGCTGGAGCCTCTACTTGTATACGTTGAAATGGCTTCATAAATTTTCTTTTGTATCATCTTCC